CATGAATTCTACTGGTCAAGTGATGGGTTCAGTTTGGCTTTGGTAATGGTAAAAGACGGAATAGTCAAATTAATAAAAGTATAAGTGGAAGGATCAAATTAGAATAGGTTAAAGTCGAGTTACTAATATGAAATAGCCGTGTATATTTCAGGCGTCTCTAGTGAATTTTATTAGAATCATATATTTCTAGGGCATTCTGTGATTGTGAACTCCAGAGAAAAACAGAGAGAAGTCGGAACAGAGAAGAGAAAATCAGCGGAGAGACAATAATCGCAAATCGAGAACAAAAATGGCTTCAAAGATTTCCCTAAAGGCAGCGAAAGGCAAGAGCGTAAAGAAGGCGCCGGCTGCGGCCGAGGAAGAGGGATCCACTGTGGCGACGGCGGCAAAGTTCGTGAAGGAGTGGTCCACGTGGACCGTGAAGAAGGCTAAAGTCATCACTCACTATGGATTCATACCTTTGGTCATCATTATTGGGATGAACTCCGAGCCCAAACCCTCCTTCTCTCAACTCCTCAGCCCTGTCTAATGAAGTATTGAGATCGCGTATTTCTGTTGAATTCGTATACTCTTTTGCTCTCTCTCTTTTTGGGTTGATTACTATTAGTCGACTTTACTTTTTTCTATTTCAATTGAGGCTTTTGTTTTTACTCTTCGTGTAATTGGATGATATGTGTGGTTTAAGAATTTTATTAGTACAATAAGTTTTGCTGGATATTTTAATTGCTGCTATGTTATTGTGGATATCGAATTTCAAATAGTCCTCATCGTAATTTTTATGCTTATTGTGTTGGTGAAATCTAAGAATGACTATGCTTGAGCTGCCTATAAGCTGGCTTTCTTTGGTGGTTATGGGGTGGGGAGTTCAGAGCATTGTTCGAGTGAGTAGTTAGTGTCTACAGTGCAAAGCTTTCTTGAAGAGGCTAGACTGCTTCTTCCCCGGTGCCCACCACCCTTTATTTATGTTGATGTTGAGGCAAGGCAAGCCCTGGGAAGTATAGGTTTGCTACGAGCTCCACCTTAGCATGCATCCTGCTCCTGAGGTGGTGGAGTCGAGGAATGAACAGAGAAAAAAATTGTGGCTTGGTTAGTGAGGTTTTTCTGCTGCTGTGTATTACTGGGTCTCTTATGGTTTATGATAGGTGCAATTGATTATCTAGCTCGTTCTTGACCTGCATATTTTGGTGATTCTTCTGTTAATTACACATGCTCCTACTTGAGTTAATTTCTTGGAGGCAATTTTGTTTATTTATCTATCCGCCCAAAATGTTTTTTCCTTAAAAAAAAATTAGATTTTGGTGCTGATCCACCTCGAAAGTATGTCACTATATTAGGTATTAAATGTTGGGCTTTTGACGTTTTTGCTTTTATGGAATAGATCGTGTGTGCAAAATTATTTGCCTGATCATCACTTGGGGGGCGAATTACAACTTATGTGCATTTCCTCACACATGCGAGTGTGTATGTTGAAAGTTATAGGAATTTATGAATTAAAGCTTTCAAAATTAATAATTATATCTGTGGAATGCAATCAGTTTGGTACCTGGAACATGCATGTGGATGGATTATCCTACTTTGCCTGAAAGAATTAACGGATGCATGTCACATGAAGTGGTGGCAGAAGATGATTGGATGAAAAAGCCTACTGGGTTTTAAACAGTTCGATAATAGAATGACATGTGGTATCATGTTAACTTTTCTGACAATGTAGCATGATTCCATGTAGATTGATTTGGGTGTTCTCAAAGTTTGAACAAGCTTTTAGGATCAGGTTTTTGAGTTGACGGTGTTTGTTTCTGAAAGTACTCATAATAGCATCAATTAGCTTGTATCTTTAATGTGAAGTTAGTGAATTGCTTATTCTGATTTGATCTCGAATTAATAGATTCCATTCAGGGAAGGATATCATAGTTTTTTTCTATATGCCCGCCCTTGTATGCGAATTTTATGACCAGTTGAGCACGGAAAATGAGTAAATTTAGTAATCATACACTGAAATTTGATGATATTTTCAATAGTTATTCTGCAATTACCAAGTTTGATGTTTATGGATTTGTCAAGTGTTTGAACATATACATCTCTCGGTTCTGCTGCAGTAGGTTTGTGTTAATGTGGCAGTAGTTACCGGTCATGTCCTGAAGTCTCATTCGCCATTGCAAAAACATTGTTTGGTTTGTAAATAGCATGCGGATGGCTTCTTCAAATTCTCTCGTACAAGTTTTGCTCTTTAAAGCTGTTGTAGTAGTTACCTTTGGAATTCAATGAATTGACTTGGAATTTTTTTCCTTTTATTGTTAACTATTATCATATTGGTTGACAAGAACTCGAATAGGAAATACGAGAATCAGAACAGAAGTATTTAAACAAGAAAAAGACAAAGTATATGTGCACAAATTGTAGGATCTGTTTGCACTCTTGAAGGATGAGGATAAGGAGAAAAAAAAATTGGAAAAAAAAGAAGCAGCAGCATATTTTATAGGCTTTATTTTACCCTTTACACCTTGAACTACTTATTTTTTATCATGTTGGTCACTTAATTTTAATTTATATGGATGTAGTTTTGTTTTTCGTGTTCTCCACATAATTCAACAACGTTTGATGGGTTCAATGACTATTAATTTATTACACAAAACTTGAGGTAGTTAAAATGTTTATATTGAAATAATGAAATGCTCACACAAATTGAGGCCATGTTTGGTATTGATTTAAATCAGATTTTAATTTAAATTAAAGTCAAACAATCAATCTTAATCATATATTTTATGGAACCACAACTTTTTAGCAACAAATTTTAATTTTTTTTAATCAAAATTTAGTAAAAATTTAATTTTAATTCCCAAACAGGATATCAAACAATGTGTATGATTTAATATTTACATTTTGTAAATTAATCTACTAAAATCTAACATAATTGTAGTTCGTGCTACTAACTTTAACAAATGTATGATGTAGCTTAAAAATTTAAGTGAAAGTCAACAATTAATTTTAATAATATATTTCATCATTTTTTATTAAAACTTATTGAAAATATGATTTTTAGTTGAGTAATGTTACTTGCACATAATGATTTATAGATTGGTATACAGAGTCGGAGAAAATAACAATTCGGAAGAGGAGAAAATGAAATCATTAAATTTTAATGTAATGTCATGGTATATCAATTTATAAATGATTAGGTACATATAGCATAATTCTTTTTAGTTAAATGAGATCGAGCGTTAGTCCTAATTGATAAGATGGACCCGTCATTAGTTTTAGATACCGGGACGAACATTGTGAAACAAAATTGAATTAAGATATGTATACACACAATGGTGTACATAATTGTTTACACCCCTCTCACGTGAAGGGGAGCCCACACACTTCTCAAATGGAAGAGTGTGAACCATTATGTATACCATTGTGTGTACATAGCACAACCCAACAAAATTCTACTGTTGATCACTGCGAAACAAGTTGAAATTTGTTTACAAATATAAAAGTTGGGTGACATCAAATAGATAAAATATGTTGAATTGAAATATGGCACAGTGGTAAATTATTTCGTAAATCCCAACACACAAAAGTGAAAACCATCGTCATTTCACTTCTCTCCAAACAACCTACTGAAAACGCTTGTTTATTTAATAATGAGTTAAAGATTTATCAGTTTCTTTATGGCCATGGGTTTTCTTGATTTGTATCTGCCGAGATCTGTGCCATTATCATTTCGGTAAATCTCTCTCATCGTTACTCTGTTTTATGTAAATTTGGTAGATCTTTATTGTGTTTCTTGATTTATTATATAGTGCTGTGTGGATCTTTCCTAGATTTTAAAATGTTCACGTGTCTTACATCTGTATTAATCTATTTAAGATAAAAAATTTAAGGTGATTTTCGTTTGCATGTTCTTCTGAAGGATTTCCCCACCTATTTTACTTGAAAAAATGGGAAGGAATGTTCTATTTTCTTTCATTTTTCTCTGCTTGGAAGTATGATTTCCATGTTGTATTATCATTTATATCTGTGCACTTCTTGTTCTTAGAGTTCTTAAAATTCTGGATTCTTGATCGCTGTAATTTATCCCCGGTTTAATAGTTATTATTATGTTTGTACAGTAGGTGTAGTTTCTGTCCTTTCTCGTTGCTATTTTACCTTTTTATCTCTTCATACTATGAGGTTTCTTGTATTTTAGTTAAAAAAAAAAATTAAAAAGAAAAACAAGAAGAAATGCTGTTAGGCTGTTGAGGTTTTAGAGTGAAAAATCCTCTCTTACACTTAGAATTTAGATTGGGTCCGTCCATCTACTCTGGTTCTTTCTTTTAAAATCAATTGTTCAATGGATTTATGCCCCCATCTGGCATGGCTTTTGAGAAGCTAAAATGAGCTTTTGACCCAGAAGCGGTTTTTCAACCCGTTTGGTTAGTTTTATGAAAGTGTTTCTTCTAGTTATCTGGTTCAATCTAGCTTTCTCTAAGAACACTTTCGGAATAGGAAGATCTTTTAGAAATTAGTTTCCAAATAAAAGTTAAGGTAGTTATTTGATTCAATCTAGCTTACTCGTGAAGCACTGAAGCTCTTTCACAATAACTAAAAGCAAAAGTAAAAGTCATGCCAAACGGGCCCTCATTTTCTGCCTCTATTTACCTGAATTTTTAGATTTCATTTACATTTTTTACTATATCTGAATGAGGTTGGATGCTTACACATTATTCTGTTATAGCCTTTGATGATTATTACTGCTTTACTTCTTCTTTTTGTGCTTTATAATCAGTTTCATAGAAGGGGTTGCTTGTTTGTTCAACTTTTTATTTGGGGTGGTTCAATGGACATATTTTTGTTTACGTCTGTATGTTCGTACTATTGTGCTTGGGCCCTTTAGTAGAATGCAAAAATATCACTATAACTAAACTGGGAAAATTGTTCCTCTCTATATTTGCAGCTCTTGAAGCATTTCTGGGATAAAAGGTGTATGGTTTTCTGATAATGTTCTAGTGGGTTGGACGATCAAGGTTATTGCAATGCAGCCACAATCACTGAAATTTACCATCAGGTTGAATAGGGAACAAAATATGTTTAATGATTCGACTGTCCCTAGTCACCTGATTAGCATGGAAAGAGAACCAAATATCCCAAATTGTTCTACTCTTGGGGACCGCCTGGCGACCACTCCTCAGGATCCATTTTCTTCTACGGAGAGAGAAGAAGTTCATAATGTAGGAGATGAAGAGAATCAAGCTGAAAATGCTCAAAATCAGTTGGTGCTGTATGACCCCGCAGTTGCTAATAGTGCTTGTGCAGTTGAAGGGGCCCCAGATTCCATTGCACATCAACCTTCATCTTTTTCTAGATTCCCCTTTACAAATCAGCCATCGAGGGTATTACCGGCTGTAGGGGCTTTCACTGTTCAGTGTGCCAACTGTTTCAAATGGAGGATTATTCCATCAAAGGAGAAGTACGAGGAAATACGGGAACATATTACAGAACAACCCTTCTTATGCGAAACAGCTCGTGAGTGGCGGTCTGATGTATCGTGTGACGATCCACCTGATCTTGTGCAAGATGAAAGCAGGCTTTGGGCAATTGACAAACCCAACATTGCTAAACCCCCTCGTGGATGGGAACGACTTCTGAGAATCAGAGGTGAAGGCAGTAACAAGTTTGCAGATGTGTGAGTATCCTTTTCCTTTAGATTCTTTCCGTTTGTTTGTTTCTAACAGATTTTGATGCCTTGACTTATGGAGCTGACTTTAATTTCATGGACGTTAGAACTTAACTTGTACGAGACACAAGGTCCTTTTTTTTTTTTAAAGATTGAATACCAACTATTTAACATTATTTGAAAGAACTGAGACAGAAACATCTTATTTCTTCTAGCGGACCTGTTTGAACAAAGTGTACATGTGTTTCTTTCATATAGATTTTAATGCTTTGAGTTATAAAGCTGAGGTTAAATTCATGGACACATATATCTATGCTCTGGCCAAGCAAGAGATCAAATTTCTATTTTTCTTTTTCAATGATTGACTAGGAAAATATTTAATATTTTATGTAAAAAACTGAGACGAAATCCTCATAATGAATGGAATTAGCCTTTTTTTTCCCCCAATTCTTTCAACCATTGATGAAACCTTGGCAGAAGGTCCTTTATCTTTATAATCTATTCAAAAACTGGTGCGCTTCACCATGTCTTGAAGTCACAGTTGCTTGTGTGATTTCACCCTTTTGGTTTAATACGAGTGCTCTTCCCTATGGTCACACGATGCTATAAGCGGAGTGATTTCTTGGTCTCAATATTGTCGGGTTTGTAAATGGACAAGAATTTTGCATGTTGATGAAAGAAAGTAAATAATTTTATGTGTACGGAGGTGATATTGGATGCTCATGTAGTTAACGTTTCTTAATATATTGTCCCAAGAGGCAAGAATATGATGCTTCCTATGTATATTCACAAAATAATATTCCTTTCATTTAAATGTGAAGTTCATTATTGATTTATATACATTCTTAAGTTCACTATATTTATCAAAATATAATTGCAAATTTATTATTATGGTAAAGAACAGATCATATTCTGATTCAGATTGCGTTTGGCGACACAGGTACTATATTGCACCTACAGGCAAGAGACTTCGATCAACAGTCGAAATTCAAAAGTGTGATCCTCTTCTTGATTATTACAAAATGTGTTCTTTTATTCATTTTTTCTTTACTGCACAATATTAGTTGCAGGATGTGCGTGTATTTTAGAGTTAAGAATGTTTGCTTGCTTACATTTGTTTTGGTGGTTTCAAGGTACTTGGAAAAACATCCAGAATATATTGAAGAAGGTGTTACGATGTCCCAATTTTCATTTCAAGTTCCAAAACCTTTGCAAGAAAACTATGTCAAAAAGCGTCGTCCTCATTCTGCACCTTCTTATAATGCTATCAAACACAGGATGCCAGCTCCTGATCCCTCTAAAGGTACTTACTTTACGATGTATACTTGAATTATACATTGGTTTCAACTTTCATCATCAAGGAAACTGCATTACTTTCTCTCGGATGAGTTCATTCATTCTTTGTATCATAATGTACTATGGACGACACTTTTCCCTACTTCAGAAAGTCTGAATGTATTTTTCGAATGGAATGTGATAATTAGCATTCATGATCTAATATCCATATTCCATTTAGTAGAAAATATTTCATCAGGGAAACTGATGAAGCACTTTGAATGCACCGACAGTAGACAATCTTTTTCTGGTAAAAAGCTGTACTATGTTTCTTGCAGCCATAACTTGGGTTGTTCCTGATGAGGACACAAACTTGCAACTTAGTGGAGGTCCAGGGCTCTCAACTCCTTATTTCGAGGCTCCTATTCTCGAGCATGAAAGTCAACCAGCGAAGAAAAAGAGGACACCGACCAAACAGAGGTTCAATGGTAATTTAGTCTATAATGAACACGAGGTGAGCATGGAACAATCCCCTCAACTCTAACGATGCAGCTATGATATCTATGCTAGTCAATCGAGCAGGCTATTTTGGCGTTTATACCCTGTGAAATCCTTTGCAAGCCTGATGTTCGGGATTCTTTCAAGCTATTTCGCCTCCTTTAACTAGATATCGTTCTTTCGGTAAATGTTTGTATTTGGGACAGGTTTGGGTCTTGAACTTGTGGGTCGGATGTCATATGTTGTTGTATTCATGTGTTTCACGGTACAAATGATTAAGTCAGCATGGGATATACTGCTGATGCAAATGATCAAATGACTGGATCACCATTGTATGGTGCTAAATTGATGGACACTTTCTTTTAATGTATGAGAGCGTCTCCAATAGACTCTATTTTTAAAGAGCATATTCTATCATTTGGAGAATATCTATAAATTTAGAGAGTTAAAATTTTGAAGTACTCCAACAAACTCTTTATATTTAACACTTAATTTTATTGCTCCCAAAAAATATTTATTATTTTTGTTTATCTTTTATTTTAACTAGTTTTTGTTTAGATTATTTTATTATTTTTGTACATTGAAAATTGAAACACTTTGAATGCATTTAATTATAGAGAGTGAGTTTGGTTCTCTAAATTTAGAGAGTCAAACCCAATCTCTAAATTAAAATGTTAATTTAAAGAGTCTCTTGGAGCATGATTTTAATTTTTAAATGTTGATTCTTTAAATTAGAGAACATCTCATATTTAAAGAGTCTCTTGGAGAGAGATAGAATTCAATTAGATATGAGAAGGAAGACAAAAAGATAAAAATTAATTTTCCTGGTTTTGACAAAAAAAATATGTAATTGACAATATTTTTTATTGTCAAACGAACAAAGTAAAAAATTGAAGGAGACGACTAATGCAATTGATAATATTTTTTCGACACTGATAAAAATTGACTCTCGGTGATGATTTCTCCAGGAACCGAAACTGGAATCCCAAGAGGGTAAGGGGAAATGGATTCCCACAAAAGAACAATGCTAGAAAAACAGGAAATATTGACAGGGATCTCTTGAAAGACACAATTGGAGAGAATTCATTGGAGGGTGGAAATTTTTTTAAACAAACAGGCCAATCACAATCTGCCACGTCATATTGGTATCCAAATCCTGTCAAAAAAGCCTGTTTGAGTGGCTTTATCCCCCACAAAATTCTCCAATGCTATCTCCCACCTTTAGTTTCGTTCCCTCGCGGGGAAGGCGTCTCTTAGGGTTAAAAAAATAGTCAAAAGGAGCAGTTTGAAAAAAATCCTCGACGAAGGGTTAGCCGATATATGTTCTAGTTCGAATAAGACTTCGAATCTTAAGTATAAATGACCTAGAACAAATATGGGGTAGATGAGGAGACTGAAAAAAGGACCAGAAGAACATATCGAATAGTAAGTATACAAAAGTGGTTTTGGTAGAGAACTGATATGATAAAGGGTCAAATGTTTCAACCATAGGTTTGAATCTCTTAGCTCGAAAGTAGTTAAACTAAACGAAATTGTACTTGAACATATTCATCTTAGTGTTGTTTACGTGTCAACATTATACATATTGAATCTTATCTTGCGTGGATAGTGGATTCAAGAGTTAAAAACCACTTTATATGAGATCAAGAAGTGTCTTTAGTCTATTGCTGAGTCTTTCACTTGATACAAAATAAATATATACAAATGATGAAGATGAAGTTGAGGTTTATATGATTGGTACATGCAATATACTGTTGCAAAGTGGAGAAACTGACCTCCTATTTGATATTAAGATGGTATTAAAGACTCCATTGAACTTGATCTCATTTATGGTTTCCAGCTTGAACTTATACGTGGTAGTATTGTTCGTACTCATAGTGGTGATATTTTGTTATGGTTCTGGATATTTGGGCAATGACTTGAGATTTTGAGTTAAGAAAACCATTCAAAATCGTAAGAGCCAAACTTTCATTGAGTAAATCCATTCGAATTTTTTGCGAGTTAGAGATGGAAATTCATATTTTTATTACGTTTATAGATATATTCAAATATTTCAGTTGTGCCTCTGATTTTCATAAGTTGAAGATATTGTATTGATTTAGACTCTACTGAAAAAGAGTAGAAAATCAAATTGTAGAAGTGAAGACTTTGTGAACTGTTTGAGAGAGTGAATCTCTATTACGAAAGATCCATGATCTAGTTAATAAAAGAGAAATTCTTATTGAATTGACTATTCTTTGACCATCAATAATTATATGGTTATTGGGAAGAAAGAACGGAGTATTACTGAATGTGATGAGACTTGAGATAATGCAATTCAATTTATATAATTTTGGGAAACGTATTGGCTAACTGTAATGTGCCACTTAATGGAGTTTTATCAATATTAGTACCTTCAGAATATATAAGCTTGGGATATATAGATAACCAAATGTGGGTTATCTTAGACTCATAATCGATTATGTAAGTTTTTGATAATGAATTTGGAAACAATGAGTCTATTAAAAACGATATTTATATCTTTCAGATCTACATGAGAGTCTAAAGGGTACTTCTCCATTGGTGAAATTTTGGGAGGATATCGAGTCACGTGATGTAATATTTGACATTTCTCCTAATAATGGAGAAATCTTTAAAAAATATTATTGAAATTGATATGATGAGTATTGATGAATCAGTTTTGAATACATAAGAGTTGGTTTAAGCTTTTGATTCAAGTGGGAATAATCTGTTTGCGAATAGAAGCTATCTAATTTCAATGATTCTTGTTTCCTAGTGGGAGCTGAAAGCTATCTAATTTCAAAGATTAATGGTTCAGAAGGCCAGTGGAGAAATTTGTGGAAAGTAGTAGAAGTATAAATGGATTATAGAATTCTAACTTAATTTGATATGTGGTGGAAGTTCTAATTGAACATTATATTTATTGAGAACATTCAGGTTTTTAAAAATTAAGTGAAAGACTAATGATTTTATGATAAATATTCATATATTTTTTTAGAGAAAAGTTATACTCAATATGAGTATATTGAGCCAAACAAACTTTTTTCATAGCAGTGAGGTTTACTTCTATACGCCGATACTAGCTATGATAGTGTATTTAAATTTAAATCACATCAAATTGACTTATAGACTGCATATTCTCAATTGGGAATTGATTGAAGAGATCTACGTGGATCGATTTGTAAGTTTCATGTTAAAAGCTTCTATAGTATTGTGGTAACTTTATAATTACTCTTGTAGCCTAATACAATCATCTTTGCACTAGTACTTGAGTTTGCATAGGATTTAAATTTCGTACAAAATTTCATCATGTGGATGATTTACTATATTTATGTAAAAGTCTGATGGTAAGTTATAACTCTAATTTTGATGACACTATATTGACTAAATATTAGAATGAGTGTATTGAGACTATTTTAAAATGGTTGTCCTTAATCTTTGAGACGAAAGACATGGGTTTAGCAAATTGTATATTTTTTATTAAAAAGATTATTCTAGTCTTATTTCTTTGTAACAAGAGCTGTATATCATAAAGATTCTAAAATATTTATAACGTGGAATTGCTACCATGTTGCGCTCCTATACGGAAAGGTGACCATATGAGTCTTCATATATGTCCAAGAATTCCATAAGTACACAAAAAAAAAAATTTAGAGAACCATATCTAGTGCGATGAACATTCAGGTTCTTAAAAATTAAGTGAAAGAATAATGATTTTATGATAAATATTCAAATATTTTTTTAGAGAAAAGTTATACTCAATATGAGTATATTGAGCCAAACAAACTTTTTTCATAGCAGTGACATTTACTTCTATACGCCGATACTAGCTATGATAGTGTATTTAAATTTAAATCACATCAAATTGACTTATAGACTGCATATTCTCAATTGGGAATTGATTGAAGAGATCTACATGAATCGATTTGTAAGTTTCATGTTAAAAGCTTCTATAGTATTGTGGTAACTTTATAATTACTCTTGTAGTCTAATACAATCATCTTTGCACTAGTACTTGAGTTTGCATAGGATTTAAATTTCGTACAAAATTTCATCATGTGGATGAATTACTGTATTTATGTAAAAGTCTGATGGTAAATTATAACTCTAATTTTGATGACACTATATTGACTAAATATGATAATGAGTGTATTGAGACTATTTTAAAATGGTTGTCCTTAATCTTTGATACGAAAGACATGGGTTTAGCAAATTGTATATTTTTTATTAAAAAGATTATTCTAGTTTTATTTCTTTGTAACAAGAGCTGTATATCATAAAGATTCTAAAATATTTATAACGTGGAATTACTACCATGTTGCGCTCCTATACGGAAAGGTGACCATATGAGTCTTCATATATGTCCAAGAATTCCATAAGTACACAAAAAAAATATTTAGAGAACCATATCTAGTGCGATTAAGAATTAGAAGGATGATATGATGTATACTTGCCCAAACATTTGTCATGCAATTGATCTATTTAGTAGGTATTGATGTTATCCTTAAAAATGGTATTTTGATAAATGAAGGGTACTTCTGTCAGTTATTCTATTTTGTTGTTGAGGGAATAACTTGTTATTGGAATAGATATGCAAATGTCGACTAAATATGAGAGTTAGTAAAGCAAAAATAGTCATTAGACTTGTGTAATCTTGGTATATAGGGTATCAAGAAGCATATCTTGTAGTATATATCTAGGTAGTTGAAGAAATTCTTTGATATAGATGTATTGGGAATCTAATGATACTAGTTGAGAATATGAGATTCATGATAATTATGCAATTATCTGATGTGTTGAGGAACTCAAGTATCACGATGGAACTAAACACTCGATAATATTTCCGTGAAAAATATTAGCAAAGAAAATGACTTTGCAATATATCTATATAAATGATGATACGTAATCATCATACTCTGAAGATGTCTAGAGGTATATTTGTTGGTAATGTCAAATCTCTAGAATACCTAGCGTATTAGAAAACTCTTGATTGAGTTTTGTATGCCCACAAATGAATAATTTTGAGTTCATGTGTAATATATAGTTGGGATTATGAGATAATAATTTGTATGCACATATAAAGTATATCGAACATGTTGAGATTGGTTCACTCACGAACAATCGTCTCAAACACTTTGGGGGTGTGTTAAGATAATACAAAGTGATCATGTTGTGTACATGATCCGATCGACATGATAAGATATCAAGATGAGATCACAACAAGTAATCAAAATGAATTTTGCTGTTCTATTAAACCTGTTTAGTAGTTAGATCGAATTCTTGATTTGAGATTGTTTAGAGGAATGAAAATAAGGAGAACTCAAGTTAAATATCGAGGAATACCTGAATTACGATATGTACGGTGTTATTTGTTCAGTAAAGTGAAAACTCTATTATTGTGCCCTACTGAAGTTTGAAGTGTTGTAATCAATGGAAGTAGAACAGATTCTCTAGCCACTTTGGTATTAGGATTCAGAATGCTTTCCTTTGCAACCAATTTATTGGTTTCTGTAATCCTCAGCTCAGTTTGTTTTCCTTGCCGTTTTAGTATCTTAATGCTTTCTTTCTCATAAACATATGGCCAATAAAAGAAATCTAAATTATAGGGCTACAAAAGTTTCAAGTGCATGTATATGTGTTTGCACACGGCAGCGTGTTTTAAAATCAATCGCTTCCACGCGAGAAAGGGAAATGCACGTCGACTGTATTGATTTCCAATATATTACTCGCTGCCATCTTCTATTTAAACTAGAAATAAAATTGATTGTGTGTTCTAGTGTTTATTTTTTTTTTTCTTTTTGTGAATTGATTGCTCTATGTAGAATAAAATTAGAGTTTCTAGTTCCAACAACGTATAAAGTTGTCCTCGAATGGCTTAGCACCCAACCAAAAGCCTATGTTTGTACAAGAATGAGGCCCGTAAACCTTTGACAATTTATTATACATTGTTTATGTTGGGAATTTACTTAATCGCGTACAATGGAAAATGAATTATTTTTCAATTTTCATATCGGATCTACTTTGTATTTAGATAGAAACCATGTTTAGAATAATACATTTGATAAATTATGCAAACTCCTTTGTTGCTTGGAACACGAACAATGAAAGTTTCTCTTTTCTTGTGCCAGCAAGAACATGAATCTGCAATTCACAGCTGTCTAATTGTCCAACTCCCAATGGAAATCTATATAAGGAACAAAATCGAGAAAATTAAAGTTTCTCTTTTCTTGTGCCAGCAAGAACATGAATTGTGTTCTATTCTATTTTTCAAAAACTCTAATAACTTATTAATATAAGTCCAAGTGTGCTTGACTTCAATATTTATAATCTAATTAATTAAATTTGGTCCATTAATTAATCCAATTAATTCGGGCACAATAACAAGCAACTCAATTAACTAATTGTTCAACACTTGTTAATTAATTAATTGATAAATCTCATTCTTCCGATTCTCCTTTTGTGTGTGATTCATTAGGTTTCAGATCACGATACCTAACGATATGAATTATTATTTTGATTTAATCAAAAAGATAAATTAAAATACCCCATTTTAATTTATCATCAATTCACATATGTCGTCCCAAATTGACATCTAGCAATATGCCAACAATACATGTGACGAAACATATCATGTAGTTCATTTACCGTGAAACTATAATCATTTTGTCAATATGATTGATCAATTACGAGATATGAATATGTGTCATTTTCAATTATCGATCATATCTTTCATCTCACTATTAAGTCAATGTAAGTTGAAAATGATAATTAACATATAATATCTCCACATTTCATTGTTATTGTAGAAAACGTCCATACCTTTCATTTTTTTGACATTTTCACCATCATTTTCACCTTTTATCGCGTAAAAGATCATTTTCATCTATTTTCATAATTAAAATTTGTGAAAAGACGAATATATTGTTCGCTTTAAATAAAATAAAAAGAAAAAGAAAAAACTAGTTGCAACCATAATCCCAAAATTTTTTAAAAGTGCAAATGAGTCCCAAATAAATTATTAAAAAGTCTCGCCTTTCATTTTTTTTGCACTTTCACCATTAATTATACGTTTGATTGTGCAAACCATCATTTCCATCTATTTTCATCCAATTTCGTAATAAAAAATTGTGAAATAATGAATATACCATCCTATTTAAATAATTTTTTAAATTTTTAATAATTTATTTGGGATTCGTTTGCACTTTAAATTTTTTTAAAATTTTTAAAATAAATTTAATTGAGACTCGTTTGCACATTTTAAAAAAATTTGGGACTATGGTTGCAATTAATTCTTTAACTTTTTTATTTAAATAGGAGGGTATATTCGTTATTTTACAGTTTTTTATTGAGAAAATGGATAAAAACGATGATTTGCGCAATCAAATGTGCAATTAAATGTGAAAATGCAAAAAAAAAAAAAAAAAAGAAAGGTATGGACCTTTTGTAATAACAATGAAAGGTATGTACATTATGTGCTAATTACCCTTTTAATAATTTATTTGGAGCACATTTGCGCTTTTCAAAAAAATGTGATTATGGTTGCAATTAGTTTTTCTTTTTCCTTTTGTTTTATTTAAAAAGAAGGGCATGTTCGTTATTTCACATTTTTTAATTGAGAAAATGAATGAAAATGACCTTTTGCGCAATAAAATGTGAAAATAAGGATGAATATGTCAAAAAAAAAATGAAAAGTAAAGACCTTTTTCACAGTAACAGAGAAAGGTAGGGACGTTATGTGCTAATTACTTAAGTAGAAAACTCTTTTTCGACTTATAAGTACACATTGACCATTGATTTTGTTATTAACTTAACTGAATGAAATGTAGATCATAATCTCTTACCATCTAAGGGTGACGAATGCTCTATTGATCATTCACAACTTTCATATGATTCTTAACATATCTAAACAATGTCGTATTAGCGATCCTTGGCGGAGCAACATCTAATATGATCAGAGTATGACTATCCTCATATAAGGCACTATAATGACTTCAAGCCAAGGATCGATTCCACTATCGAACGATATAGATTAATCATTGACACTCAGATAGTTATCCATGTAGAATCTCCCCAGCGGGTCTTCAATATTTTGTTTTATAACAAATCATCCACGTGTTCATTTAAGTGTCATCACATTTTAGTTTGTGAGATCAATTACTTACTTCACAAATAAGAAATGTCACACGTGATGGTATATCCGTATTAATGATATCCGTATCTCGTTATTATTTACGGCCACAGATGATTTAAGATTCAGTCATATGAAATTTGTCTCTCACAATCACAACTCATTGTGATCAACAAATTATTAAGATTTGAATTTAAAGATTATATTATTTAATTTATTAGAATATTATTTCAATTAAATAATCGATCTGTCATAAATGAAATGCATCAATTATCTAGTAAAAGTGTTTATTTCCAACGTTGATTGTATTTAGGGCATAACACTTTACCGTTTAAACGCGTTCACACGATTGGAAAAGAGTAATCATATATGATATGAAGCAAAAGTACATTCGTTCTAGTGCATAGAAAATCACATGACCGAACATCTATTTTTACATATAATTCTATGAATGAAAATTTTAATAATCACATAACTTTCTAATCTGGTAAATATTAAACCAACCGACTTACTTATAAATTCTATTTTATTTTGGAAACAATGTTTGTCAAACGTCTCAATAGCGAACGAATAATTAATTTTTCAACTTGGAATTTCTTAGGGTAGGGTTCTTGCTTTAGTAAGTGACATCGAAAGGCGCCATTTGATTCTTTCCTAGGAAAAATTGTCATAAATGCCGATTTCCTTAGTTTCTCGTTTGGATTCTTCTCACGAATTGGATTTGAACCAATATAAAGCTACTTTCCTTTTAGTAGATCGAGAGTGGGTCTGTCGTCCTCCTCATTATAGTCTAATTGGATTTGAACCAATATCTAGCCAAAATATTTTAATCGATAAACTATTTCAATACCCTATTTACTCCGCGAAATACAATATAATTACTCTAGTTTGAACCAATCACATCAAATACAAATATAAATCCAAATCCAAAAATTCAATAATGACCAAAGTCATTATCTCAAATCTTCTATTTGTGGCTAGGATCACTTTTCCTTCTCTCTTTCACTGACAAAGAACATTCATTTGTCGGCTAGTTGTTTATGAGAAAGAGAGTAATAAGAAACATTTCCTCAGGGAAAACCAACTAGGCTGAAGATTAAAGAAAGCACTATGAATCTTAATTCCCAAGTAGTTAATCTATCAGGTCTCCCGCCATTGATTATAGCACTTAGAGCTTCAGCAGAGCTTAAAAATAATCATGGGTTTCACTTTCCTGGACATAGGAGAGGGCAAGCTGCGCCTTCAGAATTGAGTGAACAAATCGGGATTGGACCATTTTTTCACGATGTCACCGAACTTCCAGGCTTGATAGATTTTTCGCCCCTGTTGGACCTCTTCTTGAAGCAAAGAGGCTAGCAGCAGATCTTTTCGGAGCAAAAGAAACATGGTTTCTTGTTGGAGGCACGAGTTGTGGCATCCAGGCGTCGATTATGGCTACTTGTTCGCCGGGAGATACTATCATTCTGCCACGAAATGCTCATGTATCAGCCACTGCTGGAGTTATTTTTTCTGGTGCTGTACCCAAGTACATTATTCCTGAAAGCAACTGTGATTGGGATATTGCTGCTGGGATCACTCCTTCACAGGTTCGTTCAATCCGCAGTATATTTAGACTATGTTTGACTGCGTAACCAATGTGACCACAAGATTTTAACTTCCTATTCCTTTTTTAATCCTGTCCAGTGTGGCGAATAAACTTTCTTTTGCTTCATCTTCAAGTCAGTTAAACCCGTTAAGTTTACCTGTTTCTTCATTTGACTTGTATGCCTCCTCAAAGTGTTGTACTTTTTAGTAAGTCGTATCCAGTACGGTCCAATCCACTCAACATTTCAAACATATGGTTAGGATTTAAAGCGCACTGTCTAAATGCATAAATGCTAGTACGGACATGAACTTTCAACTTAAACGTCTAGATTTTCTGAATATTTCTCGAACAGTATCAAGTATCATGTAGTGGTCATTATTACTTACAGGTAAAGACGGCACTGGAGGAATCAGAATTGGATGGCCGAAAAGTGGCTGCAGTTTTCATAACATCCCCTACTTACAACGGAATTTGCAGCAATTTGAGTGAGATTTCACAATTGTGTCACTCGTGTGGAATCCCTCTAATAGTCGATGAAGCTCACGGAGCTCACTTCAAATTTCACTCGGCCATGCCCAATACAGCCCTCGAACAAGGGGCCGATATCGCTATACAATCCACTCACAAAGTCTTAAGCTCTCTAACTCAATCATCAATGATACACATTTCAAGAGATATTATAGACGAAGAAAGACTACACAAGTGCCTGCATACCCTTCAAACAACCAGTCCAAATTGGCTTCTTTTAACTTCACTGGATGCTGCTAGGCATCAATTAAGTAAAAATCCCACAAATATTTTCAACGAAGCAATGGAATTGGCTGCTGAAGCCAAAACTTTGATCAATAAAACTCCTGGAATTTCAGTTCTTGATCCTTCAATATTCTTTCCCAATTTCCCCATCATGGATCCTTTGAGGATCACCCTCGAGGCGTGGCAACTCGGCCTCTCGGGTTTTGAAACTAACAGTATACTACATAAATCTCATGGAATTGTTCCAGAACTCATTGGCACAAGATCCATTACATTAGCATTCAGCCTAGGAACTACAAGAGACCATGTTCAAGGACTTGTGGCAGGACTAAAACATTTATCAGATTCACTTTTGCCATTACAGCTCAAAAGAGAGAAGATTTTTACTCAAATTTTACCTTTTGGAGGTAATTTTCATATGGATTTAACCCCTAGAGAGGCCTTCTTTGCAAGTAAAATGAAATTAAAGATTGAAGACAGTGTTGGAAAAATTTGTGGGGAAGTCATTTGCCCTTTTCCTCCTGGAACTCCAGTGTTGGTACCTGGTGAAATCATCAATGATAGAGCATTGGATTATCTTATACAAGTTATAAACCAGGGGGGTATTATCAGTGGGGCAGCTGATCCTACTCTCTCTACAATAGTTGTATGCAAAACTTAGTGAACGTCCATAATTTCCATACCATTTATTTTCAAATGTTAGCAAATTTAATAATTCAGTTACAATTTTAAATTTATTTTTCATTTTACTTATGTTGAAAGACGCTATGACTTATTCAAGTGAAAATTAGACATCTCTTCTTGTATCTTATTATCTTGTCGTATTAGCTTTAATTTACAACAATATGCATTTTTTCCTTTTACAAGATAACTGTCCCTTTTGATTCTAGGGGCTTAGCACAAGAACTTGATACAAGTGACCTCTCTATGCCTTGATTGGTTTAAATACGACAACAGAATGGTTTGCAATGTGCAAGCTGAATTGTCCACCCTTTTCACCCACATCTATCTTTTCCAAACCTGGAGGAACCAACATTTCAAAATTCGACACCAGTTTTGCAATTACCAATCCAAGAATTGGCAGTGCAAGAATGATCCCTGGGCAGCTTCGCCTCCCCATACCGAAAGGCAAGTACCGGAAATCAACTTTGCCACCAGCAACCGCAGCCTCTGTTCCGTTCTCCTCTTCCAAGAACCGCTCTGGCCGGAATTCATTAGGCTTCTTCCACCATGCCGGATTATTCGCCAGCCACCAAGCATTCACCACGACTTTTGATTCTTTAGGTATGCTGTAACCACCTAGTTTAGCTTCTTCAAGATTCATATGGGGTACCAACAAAGGTATTGGGGTGTGCAACCTCAGTGTTTCATTCACTGTGGCTTGTAAATATGGTAATTCATTGAGGTTTGATTCTGTTACCGATCGTCCTTTAAGGACGGCTGAGATTTCATTGCGGATCTTGTTCTGAACATCAGGATGATTGACAAGCTCGGCAATTGCCCATTCCATGGACCATAGAGTTGTTTCAATTGCTGCAACATTGATGTTTTCCACAATGTAGAGAACATTTTCTTCACTGATTTCTCCCTTCATTTGAGCATCTATTATATAATCAATTGCACAACTTATCCTGTGTTTTTCTCCGTTTGCTTCCATTAGTTCCCTGCATTAAATTATATAACTTCTTGATTCAGGAAAATCATATGACCAAGAGAAACAGAATTGCATTTTCTGGAAAATAATCTAATAACAACAAAAACTTGTTTTACCCAATCCATTCGGTTCATTGCTACTGAAAAATCAATGCAACTAGATCATTAGTGGCCATAATAGGCTATGTTCGTTTTAAGGTGGGATGCATATACTCTTTTTTGTCTCTGTTCGATCTTTTTCCTTGGAAGAAATATTAAAGGGAAAAAATCTTTACCTTCTCTTATCAACATAATAATTGTTGAAGAATGAAAGTCTTCGCCTTTGCAAGTCCCTGCATTTGTTGAGATACCCTCTTAAAAATGGTCTAAGCAATGGGATAAAGTCTCCATAGTTGTACTCAAAGCTCTGCGCCAACCGGCTTCTTTCGGAATTAAACTTGGTAGCCTCAATGAACAATGGATCATCCTGCGATTCAAATTTGGCATCAAACATCATACGGTACATGATGTTATACAACATCAACTGCAACCTCTTTCTGATCACTAAGCCTTCTTTTCTCACTTTTTCATCATTTCTCAAGTCACAAACTACTAAATCCATTTCATCTTCCCACATATCACTATATTGGTGCACAACTTTGTTGGTGAAGAATGGAAGTGTCATTATACGGCGCATTTTGCGCCAATGCTCGCCATAGACTGTGAACACCATGTCTTGACCATTACCCGTGAAAATGTCGAACACAACATTTCGTGGGCGGGAACCGAATTCCACACCTTGTGTGTGTAGGACTTGGTTGGCTAGCTCGGGATTCGATACCACTGCTAGATTTTTCGTGCCAAGTTTGAGCAAAAATACTGGACCATAGGTTTGTGACATGGAGGCAAGGAGTTTGTGGTTCAAGTCATTGCCAACTTGAAGCCAATTGCCAAAAATTGGGAAAGAAGGCGGCCCGGGCGGGACATCGGCCTTGCGGGCTGTGTTGTGGTGGAGAAAGTGAATGATGAGGGGAAGTAAAGGAAAAGTGAGTGATAAAAGTTTAAGGTGAAAGGAAATGGACAAGTGGGAGAATAAAAACTTGGTGCATACAAGAAATGCAGTTGTTACAAGAGTGCAAAATATGGTTTTGTTGAGAAGACTGCCCATGTTTTTGAATCAAGAGAGGGAGAGGCTTGATAGAGGGAATAGGAGAGTGGCTCTTATATAAGGGAAATAATTTACATGGGTAGGAAAGTTGGTGAGTGTGTCTAATGGTTTTGGAAAAATCCCTATGGGCTGTCTTAAAATCTAGGTAGGAAATTGAAAAAAATATTGCCAAGTCAAAATGGGTTGGTGGGTGAAGTATGCATACTAGCCACATTTTGTCATGGCAAAATTGCACGCTTCATCTAAATAAACTTTTATGCCAACCTTTATTTCTTGTCATTTTAAATCACGAGATTCAACTTTTAGGGGCAAGTAATCCCACAAATTTGCCTTCATAAAATTTAAAATTAATCATCTTCCCCAAGCCAAGGCAAACCCCCACGGCAATCCTCACACTTCAACTGCCAATCCCAATCTTACGGCCTCGTTGAATCAACTTATCTAAATTATGCCATGGGCTGACCCGTCTAGATAGGAGGGTTGTGCGTGCCTGGGCGACACATTTTCTAGATGTGTCCAGCTACCTAAAATGTGTGCAGGATCAATACATTTTACACCACTAAATGAGATAATAAGTCACAATGCAATGTTGGTGATTCTTGAACTAAAACTTTTTCTTGTTCTCTAGTGTCATGTATACATTTTATCAACTCGACGAGTCTTCTTAATTGAACATGTCTATATTCACAGTCAATTCCTAGGTGAGAGGATATGTAAAAGGCTTGTTTGGCACATTTTTCCAAGTGAAAATTGATTTTTCTAGAGAATGTCAAGTGAGGAGAAGTTGTCAAACCTAGGTACCTGTTGTCTGTTGACCACTTTTTTTGAGAAAAAAATTTAAAAAATAAAATAAAAAATTCAGCAATTGGGCGTGAAGCTAATATCAAACAAAATATTAACTACATTCATTTGGTTTGATTTCCAACGACTTCATGAGTCCTACAATAGCAATACTCTCTATATTGACACACTCTTTCAAATTTCTCATCGGCACTTCTGATAGGTTTATACAAATGTCGTTGCAGGTAGCAACACCTTGTTGAGATACACTCCAAGAGCCCAGATGGGAAAGATGTTTCTATAGGTTGAGTAGCTTATCATACAGTTCTTATTGAATGCTCCAATAATGTCCTGTCAGTAGAATAGTAAGATCGAACATCAATAAATTATTTTGTTCGAACGTGTTCTTAAAAGGAAACATCTCTCTCGAGTGCACATTTGATTACAAAAATTCAAAATACCTGTTGTGGAAAGTCCCCATTTTCCATTTGTGAATTGATCAACACTTTAGCAGCACGATGCAATGGGGTTGGATCCCGGTTGGCCTATTAAATCCAATATTAATGAAATCATAAAAGTAGCTTCTTTATAAATCCGTAATAAGCACATAAATGATAGTACAACACCTACTTGCCCAGTTTCAATAAGAGCCAGCATAGCCCATCCAGTGTTTACATTATGCGATTTGTTCCCTTCAAGATTTGTGTATGTCTGTTCTCACTTGAACAAACAAATAAGCAAGAATCTGATGGCCCATTTGAAATTGTTTAAAAGGCCACTGGATATCATGAAAACTTGTAGTTCCTTAAAGAGAGGTAAAAATGAACGTGCTTGTACACTTTTTTACCTTGTCTTGGCATGAACGATAGCTTTCACCCCAGCCACCAGATGAAAGTTGCTTTGATAGAAGGAAATCACAAGCTTTTCTGATGCTATAGCTATTTTCGTAGGTCTTACCACCGGCAATCAATCCAGTTATGCCAAACCATGTCCCGTAGGTGTAACATACTCCCCAAGATCCGTACCTCGTGAAATTAATTAACAATACTTTTCATACCAAACCAACAATTTTACCAACATAAAGTATGAAGTCAAGTATCAAAAGGAAAATCATTTTTTCCTCTGTATAAATTATAATGTGATTTACATGCTAAACAATCTGTACTCCCTCTTGGACTCGAAAGTGATAGTTAAATATATAGGATTTGGGATTAGCATAATCTTCTTTTGAACATTTTGGTTGAATAATATATTTTGTAAAACCAATATGTCAAATTGATATTTAAAATATGACTACTCTGCTTGTATCCTACTTTGTTGAGGCACAGGTTGGATGTTTTTCTACCATGTTCTCCTGCTCATGTTACGCTAGGGCATCATTTACTCTTTTCTGTGCCCCCAGAAATGATTGTGTGATTTTTTGAATGTCCTTTCCATTCTTAGGATGGTTCTAAAAAAAAAGTAAACTTCCAAAATGAGGAGCATACCATGAGCCATCAGGGAGCTGTATGCTTTCGATGAATTTAAGTGCTTTCTTAACACACGCGTCGATTTCTTTACTCCGATATCCTGGATACAATGCGATAAAAGATTTGAGACTCTGTATTGCTGCAGACGTGCATTCGACATACCTGCATCATCAGGTTTACTAATTTTAGAAGCAGAGAAAAGATTATTGGACCATATGAAACGTCAAATATTTTAAATGTAAATCAAAATCAGTCTCAGTCGACCCAGGCATTACGAGCCTGTGGTTTACTTAAATTTGCAGACAATTATTCAGTTATTTCTCGAAAGAACACAATTGAACTTGACGATTAAATTCTTTCAATGGAGATTTGAGCATTCCCATTTGCTTTTCTTTCTTTTTCCATGAAAGCCATCATAAAAATATACCTCAAACATGGAGAAATTAATTTGTATTATGGATTCTCGGAAACTGAGAAGGTATCATGCAGATAATTTCTTGTCAAGATGAATATCCATTGATCAAACATCCTAATATCATAATCGGGATGGCGAAATGACCAGAGTTTTAAGAAAATGATCTTACTGGTAGTCAATAACTATATCCCCAAATGTTTCTGTTGGATTGATCAGCTGCAAAAAAAAAAAAAATCAGATGCACAAAAATCTTGATCAACTACAAAATTTGCACTTGTAGAAACTGTATATGTCTGCATTTCTCTCAATTACCTCCAACCAAGGATATGATCTCGTGAGCTCATACGATGCAAAACCTCCACTGCTATTCTGCAGACCATATTAGAATACCATGGTGTATAAGCACGTCATAGCTTCATTTATAAATGAAAAGACAACTCTTTATTGGAAAAAAAAATTAAATAATCTTGGAACTGCCCTGCTACATTAGTTGATAATTTCAACAATATCCTATTCACTCTCAGTAATATTATGATTAAAAGAAGTTTCTAATTATCATACTAATCTTTCAAAACAATAATAGAAGAAGACCCCGAAACAATAGGAGCAAAGGATGAAGTTCAAGCTGAAGAAACAGATGCGTTCGCATCGGATGAAGCATATGGAAAAGCAACAGCATATGCATAGATACAGGATTTCCCCATAAAGGCCATGAACAGTTGCTCCTGGAGTGGCAAAATAAGGCTTAGCTGATCACCAGATGGTTTAAGATCAAGTCCTAACTACAAGAAGGGGAGAGGAAGTCCATTTCAACATAGTCAAACCATAACCATATGGGATAAAAATGTAGTACCAACAGAATTGAATCTTGGGGATGAAAGTTTCATTTTTTAGATAAAAAAAATTCCTTTTTTTCTTCATCCTTTTGCATTGGAAGAATAGACCAAAAATATTCATGGATCACTCATTGAGGAAACTCTAAATAATATAATCACAAAACATAGTTGAACACTAAAAAATAAATCAATGCAGTGCAAAGTTGAACACTGACAAATAAATTAATGTAATGCAAATTGTATATCAATGAAGTGTTCCCCACAGCAAAGCTTTAAATAATAGGAATTTGCCTTAAAGGGAGCATAAGTTAAATTGTTTAGAATAAGTATATATAGTACAAGAGTTAGAAATAAACCTGAAGGGATAGAATTAAATCAACAGCATCATAAAGATTTCTTGGTTCTAATGCTTCTCCAGCACTATCAGATGGCATCTGTGATAACAAAAGCGATGCCTGCAACAAGATAGATTGACAGTTCCAAATGTAATAATTATGTGTATCTTCCCAATTTTCCTAAGTTAAAAACTATAGGACCTGAGAATTTTCCAAATTAATAAGCCCTCAGATTTTTCAAGTACCAAAAATAGATTACATCTTATGATTATATATTTCCAATGTTCACAAGTTCGTAATCTGAATGCATGAGATACTATCACGTTATAATCTCACTTTTTAGTTCTTTTTTTCCACAAGATTGCAGACCTAACTTCATATATCTAGCTTTGGAAATTCAAGTCTAGATTGTTTCCATAAACATAAGATTTTAGTGCCATCACAAATCTTAGGAAAATTCATGCAGCGTTGTGATTACACGACAAAGATAAAAACATATTCAAAAAGAGAACAATCCAATTAAATTCCAACCAATTATTTGTGATTGAAGCACCAATTAAAATAAGTTATTTCAAGTTCCCCTTAAACATTCACATCTTATTTAACAATTAATGGTGGAAAAAAACCTTCAAGCCTTCTGCACTGCAGTCTGATGCTGGCCATCCACTGTCTTGAGTGGAAAATGTCCAACCACCTTTAGATGTGTGGCGATACCATGACCTAATATTTCCTGAGCTGTCTTTCCTAATCTTCAAAACAAAATTGAATTATTAGATGAATTTAAAAACAAATATGACAAAACACAAACGAAAGCATGACAATTAGAACATGTTCAAGTCTTGCGGTAATTACCTGTGATATTTTGATGAACTCGTGTGCTTTATTAAGCATCAAACCATAGTTTCCGGTAAGATTGGTTGCCAATATCGCTTGGACAGAAAAAGAAACATCCCACAATTGAGATCCATTGTACCCCTGCATTGATTTATTTACAGTAGGTTACAAACTCATAAAAGTTTCTTGAGGATAGGATATAAGACAGTTTTAAAAACCAATTATATTCTGCGCTTGCATTTAAATTTCTATAAATATAAAGCCATGATAAAAACAGTTCTGGCATGTTTAATATGGAGGATTGAATTGTCTTAAGAGTATCAAAGAAGAACATAAGTTAAGATCTTGTTGATTATACTGTCCTAAATCTGAGGTTTTTGAAGCATTGGAGAGGCATAGAATTTAAGCCAGGAGGCAAAATATAACGAAGACCTGCATCTTCATGCCATCTTCAGCCACCCACAGGTAATCCTTTATTCTTGAAAGATGTAATTTGACTGCCATCGAATTCGGATCATCAACCCAACAACAGAGCATGTTTAGTACCTGTTATCACATTGGAGATTATTCAGATTTCAGTTCTACACTTCTATTATTTCATAAGTCGAAGAAATTTATATCATGTATATTACAAGAGACAGAAATAAAATTTATGCCACTGCCCATAAAGCCAGCTACAAAATGACAGTCTGACAAGGGGAGCCTTTCGTAAGGCACAAAAAGGGACACTTTGCAGCAAGCTTCCTACTCCACTAGACCACTTCCGCCAAATCTGGACCTGTTCGCAATTGTCACAACTGCAAGCAGACCGAGATTTGGTTGAAGGAGTCTAGTGGAGTAGACTACAGCATGGTGTCCCCCATTTTGTGCCTTATGAAAGAGGCCCTGTCTCGCAGTAGCATGTGTCGTAAATGTTAATCCTATCTGTATCAATGTCAAGCATTTGAAAGAATTTAGACAGTTCAGACCATACTGTTTGAGATAGTACTGATCCTTTTTGCCAAACGAATGGAAATTCCTTAACATAGTATCAGCAGAATAATGTTTAATATTTCACTAATAAAACCATAGCAGATACCTTATTCACAGGTCCAAGACATACGTAATGAGTGTTTTCATCCTCATAATGTATATGTTGCATCACAATGCTTAGAGCCTTAAGCTTTAGTTTAGAAAAAGGCCATTGCATAAGAAGAGTTTCTCCAAACTTGTGAAGACCATCCCAGATGATATCTTGAATAGATGAATGTGGGAAGTATAGATCTTCCTGCGTCATAAACAGTAACGTGCCAAAATGAATGAAAGGATAATACAGCCTCCTCAAGCTTTTTCAGAGGCAGTGACTGGTCCATTTATAGATTAAGCCCTAATCCCTCCTTTTGAGAGCAATAATAATCATAGAATTAGCAAAGCACACACAGGTTACACCCTCAATGTGAAAGCTACATTCACTTGCTACTGCAGGTTTCCACTATAAGAAGAATACTGGTTTTCTTTCACACATCTTATGCACAAACAAAACAACCCCCCCCCCCCCCCCCCTTCCCCCCCCCCCCCCCCCCCATATATGTAGGGACATTAGTGTGACCTAATATATGTATGGACTGCCTAGCATACAATTCAGTGTAGGGGAAGAGGATAATGCTTCACTTCTTTTAGTTCTTGCCTTTAATTTCGGTGATGAAAAATGTATGTTCTGTTTGAGTTCATTGGATTGTCAAGTCATCATGGATCTTGATCATCATTGGATTGTCAAGTCATGATGATGATGATGGTGGTGATGCTAAGCAAAAGATAACATGTATAGAATATAAAAGGCCCTACAAATCAGATTGCAATTGAGATTTAACAAGAGATACAGCTAAACATGAATAACATGTCATTTCATCTCTTCTACACTTCAAAAATTCAAATGATTCTTGTCTTTTGAGAACAACCAAATATTTGGCATCTCTAAATGCAGATCCAAAATATGGTATGCTTAGTCTTAGTGAACGTTAAACCCATCTAAGATAAGAGAAACTAATCTCAATAGAATAATTATTACCTTGGCACATTGATGTCTGGCCAATTGCCAATCAATTTGATGATAAGGATGCGTATAGAGCTCTTTTCTAAGTGATAGAACAGTGTCGTTAACTGGCCCAACATATCTCTTCCTGTATATATATGACATCGGTAGGTACACCATCCGGCAATGACACCACATACGCCCTACATCAGTTGCAGAATTTCATAATTACCTTTGTTAATTCAAATTATTTATTGAAACACAAAATTATAGTTTTGGTCCAACAAGTATACGATGTTGAACTGTTAAATAAAATGTGTTTGGCACATTTAGTCCTGTAGTTTTGAAAATTTAGCACATTGAGAACAATGGAAAAAGAAAGTCATAGGTGAGGAAAATTTGTTTAATAGATGTCTTTACAATGGCATTAGAGATTTCTAGAACAATCTCTGGATATATGAACACCAAGGGCTTGTTCAATAAGGTGAATTGTAGAACATCGAAGATTATTAAACAAGAAAAGGAAGTTAAGATCTTTTTCACTGTAGAAATAATAAAATTTTCCAAAATGTGACTATTTTTTAGAAAAAAAAAAAAAATAGACATGCATTTTTGTACGATTAAGTATTATTATTGTACCCAAAAGTTTCCATTCCTCATGCATCTATCACGGCTAGATTGGTTCCATAGTGTTTATCAAATTCCAAATATTTGGCACACCCTCGGAAATAGATCTCAATGTCTGCTATCTTCTAATCATTGTGAAATTGAATCATGTTCAAGAAAAGAAAATTTAGAATCAAAGGAAGCAGTAATAACCTGGGTGAACAGGCAAAAGATAAGGAAGAAGCCATAATTCAGGAGGTAAAGGGTTATTGCCATTCCACTCATATACGCCAAGTACCTGGGAAGTTTTCAAAAGTACTCAATGTAACATCAAGTTTTAGAATATTATACAAATCAAAATTCTGATATGACTTTTACACGTGCATAGGTAGGGAGGGAGGGTAATACCGAGAGCCAAAATTTTCCCCATGAAGGAATGTAGGTGGCACCACCGTGATCAAGAATCCATGTTCTTGCTTTCTCAATTGCCCCATCTCCATTTCTCATATCTTCACCAAGAAGTCTTAATGTAACATAATTGAGGGCCGTACCGAACATGGTGCTGTGTCCTTCTATGTGCAAGCCCCAGCCTCCATCAACGTTCTACGGTTCAGTTAACTAATTATATCAGTTTCTAAAGCAACAGACTTTTTCCTTAATAATTTTTTGTCATTTTTGTATCTATCATTGCAACACTACGCTATACAAGTAACTCATTTTCACAATTATATGCCAATAGTTAGTCATTATAGTATTGCCGCTTTTGTTTTCTCTTCTTTGTTTTTCATTTTTCTTTTTGGCAGTAAGTTCACGAACAATCGTTTATAGCATTTCTGATATGTTGAGCAATTACCAAGGTTAGCTCGACTATTGCGTAAGACATCAGTATAACTGTAGTTATTCTCGTTCAATGATATTTATAAAATAACAACTAAGAACTACCTGATGATTATACAAATAGCGACATATCTCTCTTTGATGTTCTTCAGGCAGGATTATGTTTAGAGCATCCATTACAAACAAGGATATGACCTGCAAATGTTGAAATTGCAGGGAGTGAAAAGAAGCGCTTTCAAGATTAAACTAAAGAATCAAAGAACAAGTGGACTCAAAAGCACAAACTTTATTATTGAATTCCAAACATTTGTTTATTACGCCACAAATTCAGGTGATGACTGATGAGAAAATTGTGGTTGGAACGATAAGTCTGCAGGTTGTGAGGAGTACACATTTCGATAAAATCTTTTGGACAGTCAGGCAAAATTAAGTCTCTCGCCGGAAAAACTGCTACCCTCATCGGCCGAGTCTCCGTCCAGTGGCGATGCTGCCGGACAGTCTGGCGCAGGCGATAGTTACAAGAGGCGTTGGCTCGTCGATGGTTGGGCCTTCCAGGTCTGCGGCCCATGAAACTTTTTCTTTCATATTTTATTGGAAAAAATTAATAAATAAGAGGTTATGTATCCCAATTTCAAAATTAAGAAAACAAGTTTGGAATTTCAAAAATCAAATTTTTATTAAAATTTATTATGATTTATTTAATTAAATATAATGATGTCATAATTATACAATTAATGGTCACATATATATAATTAATTAGTCACAGATTATTTTTGAGGTCACAAATCAAAAATATTATACGTCACGAATTATTTCGAGATCACAGTTCAAACATTTAGTCACGGATTAAAAAATTTGGACGTTACGGATTATCTCGAGATCACAAATCAATAACTTTATAGGTCACAAATTATTTTATTGGTCATGGATCAAAAAATTACATGTCACAGATTAATTTTTAGTCACAAATTGTCGAATTTTGATGTCACAGTTAGTCCATTGTCAAACTCCGGAACTTCACCGTCCGACCATCTTTCTGCCCGGCGACCACCATTGGCCAACTCCCCTCACCAAGACGAACACAATCGTGTAGCCAATTTACTCCAACAAGCACGTACAAGATCTGAATTGCAATCTGAAATCTACCCAGTCGTGAAGGTCGCGACATCGCAATGCACTTCCACAATTTTCGGCGCCGTCCGAATGACCCAGGGTGGCAGACCACCTGGGTCCTCTTCTCCTTCCCGAGGCGCTCCTTGCCCAGGCCTGGGTCAACCCCAATTTAACCGCCAACAATCTAAATTTGATCCTGAAACCCACGCAGGGCGAACTCGCGAAAAACGAATTTTCAAATTGTTTTTACCGAAGACTTTCCAGCGAAAGGTGGATGCTCCAATCTCTCACCTCTCACCATCGCACGCACAACATCCAACCACAACACCTACCACCGCACCCACAGTACACGGCAATCACCACGCCCACCACCTCACCACTATCATCACCACCACTCCCAAACCAGTTTTGAACCTACACCAGCACCACCGCCACAATAGATCGAATTTAAAAAATCCCAAAAAAGGCACCGTTGCAGCTTTGGCAGCAGAGCTCCGCCTCTAGCTGCCTCGTTGATCCGTTTGCAACAGATCCGTTTGCAGCAGGCCTGGGCAAGTCTTGGAGTGGACGCCACCGGCTGTTGGGAGTTGTGTTGCCG